TCAGTACGGGAGGGGGAGTGCGTAGAACGCACCGGTATAACTCAGTGGAGGGGGGGGAGTCGCCAGCGCACGGGCCGATCGGGGGGGGGGGGAGGTGAGGTGAACATGCACACGCTTCAACTCAGTGAGCTGATACCCCTCTGAGTTGAGGCCCCTCTCGTTTACCTACTGTTACTAGAGTTGCGATTCGCGTCCGTATCCGTCCGCATTTATACGTAGCTATGGGACCGGGGTCTTAATTTGCAGGCTGGACCGGGGTCTTAATTTGCAGGCTGGACCGGGGTCTTAATTTGCAGGCTGGACCGGGGGAGGTTAGTATTTTTACTGATAGAAGTTCTGTGAATTAATTCTAGTTCTTCCGGTTCTCTAATGAAAAATATTTATATAATTATATATTTTAGATACAAACATTTCTCTCTCTCATCAATATCACAATTAAAATGTTGCTGTTACAAATTTTACAAAAATATGGATGAATCCAATTTTCCTGATTTGCTGCGTTTATACAATCAATAGTTTGTTTTCATGTATCAAGTGTAGTATAGTATGAAAAAATATAGTAAGTATGTAGATGTAACTAGATTTTTTAATTATTACTACAGATGGCTTGGTTATGGAGAAGGTAAGATTTATCAAATAACTTTATATAGTTGATGAGAAATAACCTTTCAATTATAATTATTTCAAATTTCAGAACTTATCTTTGCTCGGAAGTAGTTTTTTTTTATACTCAGGGATGATATTTATATTCAGTATTGATGATTTAAATAATTTGAGGATTTATTAAAAAATGAAATTAAAAGGCTTGGTCCTTACAATTGAAATAGATATATGGATATATGGAGCTGTTTACAATGTTCTGTAAGCATTGAAAATCAATTAATATTTAATGTTGCAAAGAAGATCATATATTGTATTTCTCTTAATATATTTAAGAGATCATTAGACAGAAGGAGAGAGTTGAAATTTGAACCAATCCTAAGAGAACTTGTTTTTGATATTGATCATATGACTGATTATGACTAGATTAGGACATGATGTAATGGAGCAGATGTTTGTAACAAATGTTGGAAATATATAGTGATAGCTGTGAGGATTTTGGATGTTACATTGAGAGGTACATGATTTCATTTTGTATAAACAAAGTCTGAAATCAAATTTATAACTTTTGCTTAATTTTTAATAGATGACTTTCTTTTTGCGCATATATTATGGGTATTTTTCTGGAAGAAGAGTTATTCATTGGATAAGTGATAAACCAGCTTGTTTTTTAATCATTAATGGAAAAAAAAGCTATAGCATATTATTTTTAATTAATTATGGGAGGATAATAATTATTATTATTATTATTTAATTAATTCATTAAGAAAAAAGTAAAATTTACTGAAAAGATGCATCATTCTGTCAAGTATGTACTGAGAACCATGTATTCAAAAGTTATGTTAATGTTTTAAAAAAGTTTATCAAGTTTTGTAACTGAAAAATGAAATTGTAGAAGAGCAGTTAGTATCATAGAGCCAATGTTTGCCGATATGTATGTTTGTGGCGAGCGCACCGAGCATTCGAACCAACATTCGAACGTGGTTGAGAAACAAAAGTGTGAGCATAGCAACGAACATTCATTTCGTTTAATGAAAAAACATTTCTATAGTTAGTCTGTCAATTGCATTCATAATAAATAGACGTTGTGATATTAACCAATTGACTTATTACTAATAGGAGTAAATACTCGAACAAATAACCATTTATTCCTATATGTTGAAGAACAAGGAATGCTAGACATAGAAGAAAGGGAAAACAAATTTTTAGATATTATTCTTGAAGAAAATATGAGGATAGAAATTGAAGAAATATTTTATCAGTATTCAATAGCTGTTAAAAAATGGAACACTTTTGTGGACTTTTTCAAAAATAAAATTTAGTTAGTATGTAATTGTTTTTCCGAGTTTGAATAAATTATTATTAATTGAAAGATATGAATAAATAAATTATGTGCTCATTACAGGGATCATAAAAGTGGTGTAATACTCCTTTTCTTATTGAAAAGATAATGATTCAATATGCTTATACTAGATCAGATATAAATGTACCAACAATAATAACAATGATAAGAAGCGGTAAGATAATCAAGTATATGGTTACTACTCTTAAAAATTATTTTTATGTAATTAATAATTGTCATAACACATTTTTCAGATATAAAAATAGAGTTTTGAGCTCAGTTTTAGAAACATAAATATTTTAGAGTTTACTTAAATTTTTATATTTATTCATTTATAACGAACTCAAATTTTTTGTCATTCTAAAATCAAGATAACAGTATTTTGTAGTTATTATTAGCGGGAACAAAGATTACGAGGTTTGAAGTCAATTGCAGGAAGCTTTTTGTGGGTCTCTTCCAAATTGGCCCAGCACTATCGCGCATTAAAAAAATTAATCTTATGTTTAACAATTGATTTTTTGCGAACGAGTTATATTATCACATTCTATTATGTTTAGTCTTGATATGTAAATATAATCGTTTTATTTAACAGATAAAAAAAATATTAATCTACAAAAACAAATGTAATTTAGAATATTTTATATAACTAAGTTTGTTTAGGTCTGATAGTTTGTTACCATTATATAATTTAGAGGATTCGAACTCGAATAAAAAGTTTTATATCAAATTTATATTAAGTGTGTTTGGCATATTTCTTCCGAATAAAATCATTTATTAATATATGGTAAACAATTAATATTAAAAGTAAAATATTAGAAATAATTTATTTCCACAAAATAGTCATCAAGATCTTACGCAATTTCTTATACAAGTTCTTGCACAAGAACTTATCCATTGTGAGAGCTGCGAAAAATGAAAAACACTTACTAGAACTTGCCTAAGGACTTGGCTAAGTTCTTACAATATTTCTTATGCAATTTCTTACTCAAGTTCTTATTCAAGATCTTGACTTCAAATTTTCACGAGGGTTCACATTTACACGTAAATGTGTTAGGGCAGTTCATCAAAAATCAAGACCATATAAGGAGCGTGATGTCACAAGCGTGGGAAATTTATTGTTTACGATGTGAAATCAATAATTGCAAAGTTTTTGTAACGAATAAAAACATTTTTTCAGTCAATTTCCATGCGCTAATCTCGAGTCATTATAATCATTCAATAAGTATTTGCTAACTTGATCTAATTTACAAGTAAATATCGCTAATAGTTTTGCAACAAAAAAATATAATGCGAATTGGAATGTATAACAGCGATCTTAACACTTTGAGAAAGAGAAGCAAGAATTTGTCACTTTGATTTTTAATTGAGTTATCAATAAATAAAAAATAAAAAATTTATTTAAACAATTAAAATTGCATTGTGAGATAGCGATTCAACTGTACATATATGTAAAATTACTGATAAAAATTTTTATCCGTTTGTTGATTTTATAATGGCAAAAGAATAATTTATAAATTCATTATTTGATTATTATTGAAAAACTGTTTGTTAAATTAGTGATTTTTATTTTAAATAATATTCCGCATGTCATGAGTGATTTTTTTTGTAAAAATTTTCTATAAATTTATTGTAAATTTCGTGTTATCTAACTTTAATCACTTTTTAACTATAAGAGACGATTTTTCCTTGAAAAATGATTTTTACTAAAAAATTCGTCATCTTTGACTTGATTTTTAAATCACCAACTTTTAATTTCAAGCGAACCATTTTGCGACAAAATCTGTTCAAAATTTGTGCGAATATCAAAAATAGTGTCATAGTTACCAAACGTAAAAATAAGCATTTTTCACGAGGATAAATTCGCTCGTCGCTGTAGTAAGAGGACTGTTTAGAATGAAGACTCAGCTAATTCCTGAGATTGAATTTCATTATTCAGTGGTTAGCCCTGCTATTTCTTTTCCTATGTGATAATCTAAGAGCTCAATTCATAAGACTTTCCCTCTTATTGAGAAAAAAGTAGCCTTAGAGTATCTCCTCTTTCAACAAAATTAATATTGTCAAGAGATTAGACTAAGTATTCATTACGGTACTGTCGAGCCTTTCCTCGATAGATGCAACATTACGTAGTTGTATTTCAAATAACTCGTCGAAGCAGCAAACTACGTGGATAACGCTATGTTCACTATTCGATGATTGAAACAATATCGATCACAAAGTACCTATACATGTCAACTTCTTGGTTGCTCTCGGAAACGCGATTATGAATATATCTCAGAGTTCGAACTATATATTTACATAACATAGGATAAAGATCAAATGTTACAGCTGCTATGCGTAATTCTTTAAATAATGAAATTATAAAGCAAGCTGAAAAGAATCACACAAGTAAAGGCGTTGTTTGTACTCTGTATATAGTAGAAATAATCATAAAGGGCTAAATTCAGAATCAATTAAATGTTTTCAAAAATTTTTTAATTATTGCATATCTCAAAACATTAATAACTATAGTCATATGGCAACGGCAATAAGAAATATACCTTACTATAGCTTTAATCTGCACAGAAATAATGAGACTTGATAGAAGTACAAAGAAGATCCTGATATTTATCGACATAAAGCTATAAGCATTTTACTGATGAAATTGAAAGTTTTACTGATCTAAATTTATTCGACGGGCTAGAAGATCTTTTGAATAATTTAGGTGATAATGAGTTCTCTTCCGATGTTTCAATCAATCCAAATAAAAGCATAAATGTTTATATAGTAAGTAAAGTTTCAAAAAGTATATTATATGATAGGGAGGCATGATCTCTGGTCCAGCTGCCTCCATCGCCGTCCCAGTCGCAGCTATCTCCACGTGCTCGCTGGAGATCTGCGCAGTGACTTCCATCGTCTGCATCCCTGTCTCGTCTGTAATAAAATTTCAAATATAATTAGCACGTCTCTCGCGATCCCTCAATCGCCCAACCGCTACCTCGTGTTACCGTGATAGTCGCGTCATCAATGATCCTAAAATACACATGCATTCATCAATCACACCATGCAATAACATCCACATCTAGCTGTTCTTGTTCACGTTCGGCGGGGATACGTATCTCTTGAGCTCCGATATATGAGCCATCGGAACTTGCTTTTTATTTTCCGTGGTTAAGATGTAGATTCCCAGCGAGATTACTTGCAAAACCTTATACGGGCCAGAGAACCTCGGATCCAACTTGGCATTTCTACCCGTGCTCGCGCTTGACAACGTATGCGCGTGTCTCAAGACCAAATTACCGACCGAAAATTCCGCCTGGCGCTGCTTCCTATCGTAATGCTTCAATTGCCGAGTCTGCGCTTCCTCAATATGCTTGATGACTAAATCACGCAGCGCGTCCAGCCTTGCTATTCGCTCGCTCCAATCTTTAATCGACGAGTAGATAATCGGTATTTGCGCTTCTACCTCGCGTTGCAGACTCTTCGCTTGTTGTGGCTCGCGTCCAAAGTTTGAAAACGCCGGTGAAACCTTCTTACTCACCTGGATTGTCGTATTCATTGTCTGTCTAAATTCGTATAAATACTTGTTCCAATTTCTGTGATCCTGATATACGAAGATCGCCACCATTAGCTTCAGCGTTTTGATTGCTCGCTCGGCGAAATTCACCTGCTGATGGTATGGCAGGCAGAGTACGTGCTCTATTTTGTAAACGGCTTTCCCCGTAGCTGACATGAGAGGCTGAATCTCCACGTATTTCGTATTTCTGGCATTCTTCACACGATCGTACAAATTCAGTGATATCGTGATACATACCATGCCATGAGTACTCCCTCGCAATCTTATCGTACGTTTTGTCCCTGCCGAAATGTCTCGCTGATGGCTCGCAGTGCGTGTCTCGTATCACTCGACCTCTATATTCTAGCGGTCCTACTAAGCGGCAGCATTATTCGCGGTTTGTGACCGGATCAAGTAGCCTATCTGACGAAAATCTATAAAGCATTCCGTCTTCCACTCACCAATTTCTAAATTTATCCGGTATCGCAAGCACATCCCAAGTCGCTCGAAAACTCAACTCTCTTGCGTTTTAATTCAGCAAAAGAGTGTCAAGGACCATTGTTTATACGTCAACGCCCTTTCGCGTGCTCCGTGTCGATGCCAAACCACACGATGATATCCATCCCGACTATCATGTCATACTGCATTGGCACGTCCACAATTCGCGTTATCACTTCACGCGCTACTCCATCAATCTCAACTCTAAGGCGAAGTCTCCCCACAATTCGTTTTCGGCCTTGCGAAACCAAACAACGCCACATCGCACGGCTCAATGTGGTCCGCGAACTCACGGTGCACGCATGACTCTAGCATGGTCAACGTCACTCCTGAATCGTACGGTCTACCTGCGATCAAAAGCGCGCGATTCTCCACCACGTTCGCCCTCGACTCGCTCAAGCACACGCGCACGCATAAACGTGAGACCTTCTCGCCGTCCTTCGGCCCTTCGTCCCCGACCCTAGCTTGCGCATTTCCCGTCGATTCCTCGCGTATCGGCTTGTGCCCCGAACCGTCTGTCGCTTCCAATAAGACGCTCTAACCGTAACCTTGCCGCTCAGCATCATGAACTCGCTCGACTAACAAGGAAAGGTACCCAACCCGAACTTACCGATTTTGATGATTTTGATATATATTATAGAACATAACAAAATAAGAGACACGTATTTTTTTTATCGGCTAATTTTCACTTTTAAGGGGTAAAAACCTCCCCTAAAGTTAACCCCCAAAAAGTATTTTTTTAACATCTCGGCTTAAAATTAATATTTTTTCAGTGAAACAAACTGGAGGTTATTTCTTACAAAAGGAGCAAGTATTTCATGGTGATTTGAAGAGTAAGAGTAACATTTCCTATTTTTTAGGGGTTGAAAACATATATTTTTTGGCATAATTTTATAATAAAAAAGTTTAAACCGATTAAAAAAAATTGGAAAAAATGTTTAAACATCCATAATAACAAAATTTAGTTGACGTCTTTCGATGTTTTAATAAATATTACGCCTAAGGGGGGTAAACCACCCCTAACACAAAATAACAGTTAATATGTAATTCAATACATAATATTACGTAGAAAGTTTGTGTATAGAGATTTTCGAGGTTGTTGATTACAAATCTGTTATCAGATTTTGAAAATTTAAAATGGCGGAACTAATATGGCGGACGGAAATATCGAAAAAAAAATTTTATATAATAAAAAAGTTTTAAACGACTAAAAAAATTGGAAAAAATTTGTAAACATCTATAATAAACAAATTAAGTTTTTCGATTTTTTCATAGATACTACCCCTAACACAAAATAACTATAAGTATACTTCAATCCATAATATTTTGTGGAAGGTTTGTATATAGGAGTTTTCGAGATCGCTCTTTACAAATCTGATATCAGATTTTGAAAATTCAAAATAGCGGAACCAATGAGGTGAAAAAAAAATTTTAACCTTCAACAACATCCCTAAAAAACAAATAGGCTAGATGCCTGTGCTTTTTAACCAAACCACCTCAAATTCCTAAATTTGTAAACAAGAAAATTCTGTCTGTGAAGCAGTTTTATAATTTCCGTAGAAATTGTTATCAGAATGTTATTGAAATTCCTTTATTGTAAATTTAACTTATAATGTATTTTTTGTAACAGGCTGCCGTTTAGTCTATAATCCTGCAGACGTACCTTTAATTGCGACTAAACGACGCCTTGTTATCTCTGTGCTCAAGGCACAGTAACCTACCTTGCCTCGAAGTGCGCCTGCGCAGAGTCTCTTCACCGTTCCGAGTTGGGTTCCCCCAACTCACCGCTTGGCGGCGCTGTCGCCCCTTGCTAGTAGCGCTCGAGCGGCCGCCGTCGGAACCCAAGGCGTCGATTCGCGTCTACCTGTACTCGTACGGTCCGTGCTACGTAACCGGCGAATTCGAATCGACGTAAACACTGAAAATAAACACGGGCGTGACCTCCGGACAAAGGAAAGACACAATAACGACTCTTTGATTCGATAGAAACGATAAATATGCACTTTATTAATGCAATTGACTTACACGGGGAATTGGCCGAGAGACTTACGCACGCACGCGTGAATAACAAGACACGCAAATTGAGAGAGAGAGAAAACCGCGATTACCGCGAACTACCTGCTCGCGCGTAACCAATAAATTCTTCACGCTCGCTGCGCGGATTCGCACGCAAATTATAACAACAATTAAAGAGGGGAAGAAGGTGCACCTACCGCAATATCGATGAGGATACGGTGGCCAACCGTATCCGAATAACACGCTGTTAATCAACGGACCCGCTGCTCGCTGCACCACTTCTATTACTGTTTCTGCTGTTGTTGTTGTTGCCACTGAGTTCGCTGCTATTGCTGCTGCTGCTGTTGCTGCTACTGCAGTCGCTGCTACTGCAGTCGCTGCTACTGCTATTGCTGCTGCTGCTACACACCCACCCACGCACTCAAGTTCGCAATGTCAATTGGCAAAAACACACGAAAACTCGGAAGGTTGGAGGTTAGCGCGACGCTGACGGACTGAGTAACACAGTCATACTGCCGGTCGGAGCCTCCCCTCCCGGTCATTCCCCCTTACGCGCTCTCTCTCTCTCACGATCCGAACGCGGCTCCTCTCGCTTAGCCGCTCGTTAACCTCGCGCGAGTCTTGCGATTTTCGGTAATCGTTGCAGCCCCCTCCTAGCTTCGAACTACCAGATCGAACTACCCCATTGACTCGCGACCCTAAGGACAGGATTGGGAAAGGAGAGAAATCAGTACAATCCATCCTCTTTGACATCTGGCTTTATTCGCCCATCCCGGGCCACCACTCCTCCGCGTCACCTGCCGGAGCCCCCTGGCGCCTTGTGTCTGGGGTAGCGCCAGTGCTCCGACTTGTTGGGGCATTTGGACGTGGTCGTAATCCCGGGATGGCCGCAGATGTAGCAGCCCTTGCCCGGTCGTCTACTGAGGCTGAGCTCCGCCCCATGGCCCTGGCCCCCTGCTGGTTGTTGGGGCGGCGCGGCTGCTGCTGCCGGGGCGGCGATGAATGTTACGCCGCCCACCGTGGCGGATGTGCGTCCTCCCATGGTACGCACCACCACGGTAGGGTTGGAAACCGACCCGTCCACGCGGACCGTGAACTCCTGTCCGGCGCCGAGGGCCCCCGAGACTCTTGGGCTGAGTCTTGGTCGGGGGCTTTGCCGGAGTCCTGGCCGCGTCCCTACTCGTCGAGGCCGCCGGTGGTAACACCGCCGGCGGGCCCGCGGCCTCTGGGGACTCCAGCCCCCAGTCAACGCGCAGGAGGGCCTCACCGTAGGCCCTCTGCCGCCGGACTACCGGAGCCCACTCCCCCAGCATTTCTTGGGCGCCTCGGAAGTCGAGGAACTCCCCCAGGTGAGCGTGTACCTGGCGCTGGAGTTCCCCGACGAACTCCCAAGCATTCTCCAACTCGTGGAGGCCCAACCTCACGTGCCTCCAGGAGTTTGCAAGCCCATCTTGCTGGGGGATCCGTGGGTGGTTGCAGACCCACTGTTGTTGGCCGCAGGCCTCCCTTGGCCCGGGGCACTGGGTCGAGCCCTCCGTCGTTGCCGCGCTCGACCCTTGGGTCTGCACCCCCTGGTCCTGCGTGGATTGAGACCGACGACCCTCTTCGGACGGGCCGTCGGTCTGGGTGGACGCTTCCCGGGTCGAGGGCTTGGATGATTGGGCCCTCATACCTTCCCGAAGGAAGTCGTCCACCCGCTGGCGCGAGCGGCCCTCGCGAGCGGCCACCTCGACCTGGGCCCGGACGAATCTGCGAAGATCGCCGATCAGCCGATCGGCGCCCGGACCCAGTCCCAGGTCGAGCAGCAGTTGGGTGGCCGTCTCGAGGGCCTCTTCACTGATGACCAGCTTCCTCTCCATCTGAAAAGAGAAGAGGTGGGGTTAAGGGATTTCTCAGGTTCAGCCCTCAACCTACCCGTCGCTGTATCACGCTCGACACTAATGCTTACGAGGACGTCCCGGTCCCCTGCGCTTTCCTCGCGAACATGGCCCATTTGCGGGGGTAGCTGGCAGGACCACCCTCCGCACGTGTTGAGCGGTTCTACGTGGCCTGCCTCTTCCCCTTACCGCGTTGCCATCTAGGTCGTCTCCACCTGGTTCCCGAGGTTCGCACGCAGGGTTCTTGCGCGGCCTACCCCGGCCTCGCTTAGCCGGCGCCTCGATCGGTACCTTTGGAGTCGCCGCGGGTTTCTCACACTCGTTCGCGGGGGCTGCAATCGCGACGCGCTCGCATATCGGATCCTTGCTGGATTCCTCGATTTTCGCTGGCGGGTCGCCTACGCCCTCCTCTTCCTCCAACGGTGCTGAGTCCCCGCCTCCTGGTTCCTCGTTGTCCTCATCCGAGAATGGACCGAAATAGGGCTTGAGGTCCTTAGCGTGGATCAGCTCGGGCAACTCTTCCTGCTGGTTACCTAGGCGGTAGGTATTCGTCCCACATACCTCCTGAATTACGTAGGGACCAGCATACTTCGGCGCCAACTTCGCCGAAACGCCCTGAGCTGCGGAAGACAAGATGCGGTTCCGCTTCCACACCCAGTCCCCAACCCTAAAGTCGGCCTGACGTCTCCTCCGGTTATAATAGACCGCCTGACGGGCCGCCTCCTCCCTGGACTTAGAGCCAGCGCGTTCCCACAAATTGGGTAACTGGCGCATGTGCTCGCCCCATTCGGTCAGTTCTTGGCCCTCGGAAGCTTCCCGAGCCAACTGATCCTGGGCCCTCCTAAAGGTCGAGGGGGGAGTGGGCTGTCT